TCAATTGTTGAATATCACTACTTTAGTCCATTTAATTTTTCACTAAAGAAAGCTATTGGATAGTTTGTTTGACGTAATATTCTTCCAATTCTAATTTCAGATGCATCATAAGTCACCTCAAAGGCTTTTCATAAATAAAAATACCAAGGATTGGAGTAGCGGTCATAAGAATTTGAATTTAATCTAAAGTTTTTTGTGTGGTTGGAGTATAATAAGACTTATCTAATTTTATTATGTTAGTGATTGGAGATACAGTGATATTAAAATATTTAAAAAGTTGTCTATAGAAAGTATATGCCATGAAAACTCCTTACCTCATTGAAACTCTTAGGTGTTGGCCAATTTAATATTGCTTTAACTTTTATAGGGTTAAGTTTTTATTTTAGTAGTGGAAAGCATAAATTCCAAAAAAACCACTTTAGTTTTTAAAAATAAACTTTTCCTTAAATTAATTCATAGCTTCTCTTTCTTGAGAGTATTCAAAATTTGTCTAAGGTGTTGTAGATGATCTTTCACATTTTGACTATAAATCAAGGTATCATCAAAATAGACAACTAAAAGCCTTTCATATAGAGAGCTTAAGTATAGAATTCATCAACCCCATAAATGTGCTAGGGGCATTTGAAAGTTTAAAAAGCATAACAATATATTATTTATTGATTATTTTTAAAACTTCCATCAGTATAAGTTTTTTTATTAGGTTGGGATAGTAGGTGATATGAGTCTAACAATAGACTTCTGAAATGAAGTGAAAGTGGCTTATGTCCTAATTTTAGAGAGGGACAAAGATTTTTTTTTGTTGCTCAACCAAAAAAGCATAATGAAAGAAAAGTACTCGACCTCATTCCTAATATCAGTCTTAAGTTCAATGCCAAATTTGTTATCAATCTATGAATCATTGTCACTATAATTAGTCCTAAAAATTAGGTCTTAAATTGTGTTTAAATATTCAATAATTGGGAGAATAACATGTCATAAGGTCAATAATTGCCCATGTAGTTTCTTGTCATGATCTCTAAGATAATACTTAGCTCTTAATATTTATTTCATTTATATATATTTGAGGGTGGCTCTTCTTAGCTTATGTTCCTTAGCTATAGTATTTGTCCAATGGAATATTGTATGTCTTGTTCATTTCATTTTTGAAAAAATTAACTCATTGGTAGTCATCTATATTATACCAATCAAAGACATCATTCATCTTGACTAAATAGTCTACGGACCTATTAGGGTCATGGGTACCATCATATGTGGGAGCTTTTACTTTAACTCCCATAGAGGGATGACAAATATTATTAACATTCATCTTAAAATTGTCATTTCTAACCCAGATCCTAGGGTTGAGTTGTCTCTTGTAATGTGAGTCTTCTCCTTGGTCTATATATGATGCATCATCATTTAAAGATACATTATGATTTTGGGTAGGATATAACACATTATTTCCATTATTTATAGATGACTCAAGATAGATTGTATTTGATCTTTAAGTTATTGCATTTTGGTTATATTTTCCTCAAATAATTTCTTAGTCTTAATTTTGTTTTCCTAAATCTTAAGGTCTAGAGAATCAACCATTCAAGTTAAATTTTCAATCAAATCTTAGTAATTTGATTTAGGTGCAATGAGATGATTTTTTTTAATATGAAGAAAGATAAGGGGGGAAGAGCTATAAATGTGTGTGTGTGTGAGAGAGAGAATTAAATTTAAAATATAATTGTAAAAATAAAATTAATTTTAAGTTAAAACAAATTTTAGTTGGGGGGGGGGG